AAGTAAAAAAATACAAAGTACCGGGTACTCATGCTAAAATAATTGTCTTAAGTTGTAATCGTTACTCTGAGTGTTTAAAAGTGTTAAATACWAACTAAGTTAAATAAAATCACAATTAATAATTAAATTTAAAACCTTGAGTTGTTCATTTGATTTGCCTACTTGTCAACTGTGTTCCACAACTGGATCACAACAGTGTATTTAATGTTTTTACAGATGATTAGAAAAAATCWCTTTTTGAAATATTATGCATAAATACAAATTTTGTGTTCTAAAAACTTCATATTCGAAATTTAAACAGGTAAACTTTTTCATTTAAGAACAAAATATAGTGYATACTTTTAGGCTCTAGACAACATACATCTAAAAATCTGTATCTTAAACATTCTATGGAATAAGACGACAAAGTATTGTCAAYAGATTTTAAAGATTCTCAATGACACACAGCACATTTTACAATTGATTCTTTGAAATCTAGTACCAAAACACATCCAAATCACAATGGTAATAATTATTATTAAATTTATATTTTATATTTTTAGAAAAAATATGTAATTTTAAGTTGTACAATTGAAATAATATCATTATACAACATTTATTTATTAAGTCAGTTTGGTCTAGTTACATAATTAGATGGATTAGTTGAATTACATTATTATTTATTACAACATTATTACATAAGCAAATTATTATTTCTAATGAACTGACATAAAATTTTAAAAAAATTATCCATGTAACCTTATTTTAATTTGAACACATCAAATAAAAGGACTATTTTTTTAAACTAAAAGACAAAATAATATATGTTATAATAATTTAACAATTTAATGTTATTAATATGATTTGAGATTCCTAATAAAGAAAAATTAATATAAAATAAATGTATTTGCAAATTTGTACATGTTTGTAATTTTATAAAAATATTATTGATGAAACATTAAAAAATAATATATAATACTGTTAACCTTAGTGAAATTGCTCTTTTCACATAGTGAATATCCTCATTTCATGAAACAATCCATATACTAAATAATACATTTTTTAGCCAATATGGAAGATTACTTTTGTGGAACAGATAATCGTTCTGTAAACTTAACAAAAAAATKTTCACGAGGATAACATTTAATTAAATGGATAAATTAATTTTGACGTCACGAAAATTGTTTTCACAATTTGGATGTCCATATTATTCTTCACTATTTCAGAATACTATAACTATGTTATATATCATTACGAATGATTATTTTTTATTTATATATTACTACATAATAATATAATTTTAACTTAATTTAAGATTGTATATAAAATTAGCAATTATAAATGGATCCTCCAAATATAATATTAAATAATAATAAATGAAAAATAAAATTGTGATATAAATTATTATTGATTCAATCAATTTTTGAATTTTCAAAAGTGATAATTTAAAGTAAAGAACAAATAAAAATATTTAAATTAAACTTAGATCTAATTTTCTTAAAACAATTAATTAGTTCTATTAATATAGTGTATTAGTGTGAATAATTCCTAATTATTTGAATTAATTAATAATAAGCAGTTTTGTTACCTATTAAAGAAGTGAAAAATAAATTAGATAATATGTACATTGTACATCAATTTTATGAACAACATATATATATTTGATTAGATCATACTATATGTAAGCAATTTTGGTTATTCACAACTTACTTTAAAAGCCAAAAAAATATGAGAATATCAATAGGAAGAATATTTAAAATTATCGAATTAATTATAGTGCCATTAATCAATTTAAAAAAAAATGCATGCATAAAATAATGAGTCATATTTTTAACAGTTAAGACATACTGTAAGTAACCTACCAATAAAACATATCAGTATAATCAGATTATTTTGAATATGTCAATGTCTAAGGTGATAAATTTTTAAACCATTGATAAATAGATAGACTTTTTAAATATTTAGATAACTTAAGTTCACTTGGACCATTACAGCCATCAGAATCACAAGTATAAATACATGTTCGATATTCTAATACATCACCTGGCAGTTTAAAATATTGGCAGTAATTTCCTAAATTATGAGCTGAACAGTAACGTGTAACTCCTAGTCCTCCTATAATAAACAAAAATCACAATAAATTATAATATAATAGATTTGGACATTTCCAAAAATTATAAAGAAATAATAAGTACCACTGTGACGGCCTATCAGTGTCACACAATAAGCGGCATTGTAAACACTTGTACAGGGCTGAGGGCGTAGGCCGTACGAGTCCTCCATAGTCTCTGTACAACGAAATTGATCATTGATGTCAGTACTGTTGCATTGGAAACATGATATACATACAGCTTAACAAAATAAAAAAAAATACATATTCATATTGTATTTAAAACCATACCTTAAATCTAACAAGTCTTAAATTATTCAGCAAAATATTTACCAGATTTTATGATAGAATTGAATGCTATGAGAACTAACAGAAAAAATGTAAGTGCATTAGCCATTGTTTTAAAATAAAATCAAAAGTATAAGTTGAACACAACGTAAACAGGTTTCAGATTTCGAAAAACAAAATTTAAAATAGGTATATAATTCTTGTTAAATCTAAAACTATGTAGCCACAATAGGATAGAAAAATGTAGGTATCTGTTTGTAAAACTGTAACAGTAAAACTATTAAAACTAACTAAATAAATAATAAAAACAAAATAAGCACACGATGTACATGGAAGTTAGAAAACAATGGCAAACATGAAACAATAAATAACCACAAAAATAATGTTCCATAATATGATCATAATAAATTAATTTATCATGACGTGTATGATAAGGTCATGGAAAAAACGGTTCCCACCAAATGTTTTTTACCTAATATGTATATAATYGAATGGAGTTTGAGAACCACTAATATATCTGCAGTACTATCGATTCGTTGGAATTTGTGGTAAACCATTTGATATTGTAATCAAATCTATTTATATATATATTATATTAATCTATTTATAATCTATTATATTATTATCTCAATTGGCTTCAATGGAGCCAGAGGCTTTTTATTGTATTTTAATTTTAAAGCGAGTTATGAGTATTTTAAGGTATACACTATACAACAATTTAAAATTTTAATAATTTTCATAAGTTGCTTTAAAATTAAAATATAATAAAAAGCCTTCGTGATAATATAGATAGACTTGTAAGATGGAAGCAACACCACATGCTAGTGTGGCATCCTATAAACCTGAGGTTCCCAATTCGTGGTACGCGGAAGGCTCGTAGGTGGTAGGTACGTGAAAAAWKTTTTATTTCTATTTAATATTATTTAGTTTAGTGTTTAGTTTATAAAATTGAGGTGGTACGCGTATTGATTATAAAAATGTCTAGAGGTACTCGATGATAAAAAGGTTGGGAACCCCTGTATTAAACTGTACTTGCATAGTTGCGCGGGATAACTGTTCTCCCTCAATATTTATAGTAGAATTATWAAAATTCCACAATGAATAGGTAAGAACTTTATCTGTGTCACATATTTGTTATTTTGTTTGATGGCATAAACCAATTATTTTAATAAAAAAAAAACCATTTTTAAGCTAATAAGTTTATTTTTATTTATATTATCAAAAAAATAACGACGCTATGACACGGATAAAATTCTTTCCTAGGTGAGGCCAAAAATAYATTCYATCTAAATACATAACGAGACATAACAAAAAAATCAACATGATCCACAATACAGTTGGCCAATGATAGAGCTCTATGGGAAAAACAATGTGGAAGTATAATTATTTTTGCGAAATGAAACATGAWAAAAATTAGATTTTCTTAATACATGAGTTTGTACATTAAAACCAATGAGATAATAATTCCGCAAAATAAATGTGACCATTTAATAAGTCATATAAAAACATAATATCCTCAACATTTCTCCTCGAGTCACAAGACGGGATCCCCAATTGGATAATCTGCAATTTATATGATTTTATTGTTATGGGTATATTTAATTTAAAGCATAATAGTTTTAAAAACTATCAATTAGAATATAGAATGTGAAAAATAGTGCGGAGACCAGACAATTGACCCAAATTCAAGATGAGACCCAACCAGGGGAAAATATAATGTCTTTAAGGTATTATTGTTATTTTTAAAATTACTCGTGTTTCTATTAATAAATCCAAACATAAAAAAAAAAAAATGTTTATAAAAGTGTTAATATGGATAGAAAAATCCATCTTAAAATTATAATGATAATCCCAAAGTCTTTGATGGAAGAAACACGTGTAACTGTATAATTATAGGCGATTATATTATTTATTCGAGAAAACGTTATAACACTGCACTAATTAATATTCAA